CTGACAGATGATACACATCTGCTTCAGGTAAAGGTTGAAAGGTCTAACAACGGAACACACAAAGATCAAATCAACCTCCTAAATGCTTAGAAAATAAATTTTAAATTATTTTTAAAAACTACCATGTAGCGGGATTTATTGACGAGTAAAAAATTTGATGAAAACCATAAATTTTCCCGGTTGGTGAGTTTTAATTTGACAAATAGTGCCCTTTGTGTACACGTGGCACAAAGTACAAAATTTTTGATGGGTATAAAATTTGACGTTTTATTTTAAACCATCAACTCGCCAAAATAAAACCTTCGTCAATAAATCCTGCTATACGGTATTTTGTACCTGATTGAAATGTAAAATTTGACTAAAAGAGCGAATCAATATAGGGACTGACACTATCAACAGAAGACTTAATTTTTATCTAAAAGTTCATGACATCATAATTACATCACACAGTATGTTACTAACTTTAGCTTCAACACAACACCTGCTAACATCATCTCTCTCATTTTTTTACAAGTGGGCGTGGCTCCTCATAACTAATGGAAACAACTTCAATGAGCATCTTCTCTTAAACAATTTCTAAAACATCACCTAGAAGATGGAGAGAGAGAGAGAGAGTGGTACTATACGTTATTAAATAATTATTTTTTTAATTTTAATTACTGTCTCGAAGTCAGTCAATCGTAGTCTGCCAAGTTTTTAAATGTAGCTCTTCTACTCAAAATTCCATTGATAGAGAAATACTGTATAGCTAGTTATTTTAAAATACAAAAATTTTATAATATTAAAAGAGACAGTACACGACCATCAGAAAATCAATCCTTTACTTACTTCTCTCAAGACTCCAAGCTCGTTACAAATCCCTCGTAAGAAAGATAAGAAATGTAGCTGTTGTTAATATAAAAAACTAAGAATGAAAGAGAAAGAAAAGTACTTTGTTATTATTATTATTTCTGTGCTTTTATTTTAGCAATACGGCATACATTAAAATAACAATGCTACTCAAAATTCCATTGATGGAAAAGTACCGTAAACAGCTGATAATTAAAAAACACTAATACTATAAATTTGCAATACTAAAGCGACAGTACTCCAAGCTCGTTAGGGACCCCTCAGTCGTAACACCAAGAGTATCCTTGTAAGGACACTTACTGCTCCAGTGGTTCCTTTACTATAACAATATGAGGCCATCTTGTGTTGAGGCCCTAGCTTCTTTAGTGACTTGTCATCTTGTTCCAGTGTCTCTGTGTTAGTCGTTAGAGTCAAATCAACGTCTTCAGCAACTTGAATCGTGCTAGGATTAGCTCCTTCCCGTTAGATGAAGCAACACTAAGCTTGTCCCATTCTTGACAATAAGACACTGATGTAGGTTCATAAGTTTGATCTCATGGTGTATAAGAATTTTCACTAAAAGTAACTTCAACTTTATCCATACGGTCAGCCCAGCGAGAGATAATTTCTGAGGAGT